AACGTTTTTTCAAAATTCGAGGATTTGATTGATTTCTTTTAAAGTACGAAGACTTAATTGACTTTTTCATGAAAATATGAGACCAAATTGACTGTTTCCCCATAATTTTAATACTCCCCCCGTCCCCCAATTAAGTTCATGGTTTGACTTCACAGAAAATAAATTTGACTTCACTGTAGAATGCACTGTTTTGTACTGTTTAAAGACTGTTTGACACTGTTTGACATTATTTGACACTGTTTTAAGTAGATAATTTGCCAAATAAGAAAAGTATTGAAGTGTGAACTTAATTTAGGCCAAAAAAAGTGCAAACTTAATTGGGGGCGGATGGAGTATGTTATGTCGCGAGTGGAAAATGGCCTGGTAACTTGCTATGTGAGATCATAAAAGATGGGAGCCCTTCTCACTGTAATGTGCACCAAACACAACAAAAAGTTCTGGATGGAGCAATGAATGATGGGTGAAAAAGAGGAAAGGGTAAGTAATTGATGCATTTCCAGTCCATAAAGTTACCAAGAATCAGCAAAGTAATTAAAAGTCAATCCGTGTCCAAATTACTATCGAGCATTTTTTGCGTTGCTTCATACCGACAGTGCCCTTTGCCTTTGGGTCCTCTACTTTTTCATAATCATGATAAGCATCATCTCTGCATGAATAATTAATTACAATTTCTTTCGAAATGTTTTTTTATTTTATTTTCAATTTTAAAGCAGAGGCCAAATAGGTAGCTAGCCCTAGGGTGTTTCCTACAGTAATGCATTTTTGCTCTTTCCATAACAACAAAAACTTGGAAAGGGACGTCACTACTCGCACGGTGGGATACCACTCACTTAATGACACTGCCACAATGGCATAATGAGTATGTACTACCAATCGACCGTAGTTCGTAGTGGATTATAGCGGATTCTTTTACGGAATACCATTTTTTACCTTTAGGTATTTTCATACTACCTACTCCCTCCGTCCCTAATAACTTTGCCAAGTTTGACCGGCACGGGGATTAATAAAGTAAAAACTGTGTGGTTGAGGTTTGTGCAGAGGAGAGAGAATTAACTGGAACCACAAATTCTTTACTTAAATGGGAAAGTGGCAAAGTTAATAGGACATCCAAAAAAGGAAAGTTGGCAAAGTTATAAGGGACGGAGGGAGTAATTCATAAGAGATACTCAGGTAGATATGATTAAAACTACACTCGTGTATGTATTTTCTTTGCATAGGATTCTACTATACTTTTCCTAAAATAATATTACCTCCTTTATCTAACGTTGTCAAATTGATGTTTGGTGAGAAATTAGAATAGTAAAAATTGTGTGGTTGAAATTTATGCAAAGGAAAGAAAAATGAACACAATCACAAATTCTTTGCTTTAAAAGAAAAATGACAATTTTCTTTTAACAAACAAAAATGAAAATTGTCAAAATCTAGTGGGACAAAGGGAGTTCCTTGAAAACTTGACCAAATGAAACATAGTAAAAACAAAAAACTATATTGTTAAACTTTGTGTTAATGAAAAATAAATCATCGGAACCACAAATTAATTAATTATGCAATTGCTCTCTTCCCCTGACTTCTCACCCCAAGGGTGGCATACTGTCTTTCCTTGACTTCTCACCCCAAGAGTGGCATGTTGTTTTTCTCTGACTTCTCACCCCAAGGGTGCCATCAATCAACTTTGTCACCCTTGTGTACATATTTTGGGTTGGGTTGGAACATATTTGGGGTGAATCCCTCATATTTGGAGTATATCAAAGATTAAGCATGGCTTGAAAGTGAATGCAAGGGCACCTGATGCAGCCGAATGTTAAAAATGAAGAACAAGTGCTTCCTTAATCTAACCTTAATACTTTGTTAGTAATTGACTTGAAGAGTTATTCTAAGACTGTGGTAAAAAGAAAAATCATGTAATAACAAATGTACAAGCATTTACAATTTTTTACCAAGCACTTTGTGTTTAAGGGCGTGAGGGGTTTATATAGGTGTAGAAACCCATCAAAAATACGTGGACGCAAAATAGGTGTAAACACTAAAATTGGAATGGCCTTATTTATACTCCGTAATTTGTTTGTCAAAAATATTTTTAAGTGATGTGTTATGGAAACATGATATGCATGAAAATGTTTGAGCTTGCTTTGATCAATGACATAATCATGCCTTTTTAAAGAAAAAGTCTCATGCCCTAGACTAATTCCTCATTGTTCTTCAGTGGATTCTTGGAAATCCTAAGACAAATGGATTGGGATTCATCTGCAAAAGTTTAAAAAGGATATCAGTAGCATTGAGTATATTGTTTGTTAACAATCAAAACTCGATGGATTCATAGAGTTAACACATCTAGGCTAACTCTTTTTGTTGATGAGTTTGGATTTCTATTCACATCCTCCTAGAGACTTCATGATAGCTTTCTTTTATCTCAAAACACAAGAAAAGTTCTTTTCTGGATCATCAAAGGCAGCTCCATGTTTAATTTCTCGAAAGTGAAATCACATTCGGAAGAATAAGAAGAGTTAGAATTTACACCACCACCACCACCACCACCACCACCATCAGCATCATCATCATCATCATCATCATCATCATCATCGGTGTGAGTCATGTAGCACACATGGGCAAGTTAATCATAACTTCCAATTTGATGTTCATCAAAGTTTAGATTATCACAAGAAAATTGTAGGCAGTCCTTTACTTTCTTCTCTCTTTTCTCGTCAACTCTTCCCTTTCTCACTTGAGGAAAATCGAGCCTAAAGTGGTAAGGTTATCTACACTCATAGAAAGTTTTTTTTGGGATTTGCCTTTGTAATCCTTCCTCAAGTTTTTTACGTTTAATACTTTAATTAGTTTGTGCCATTTGAAAAATTGTTTTAACCCTTGAACATTGCAATCTCATATTTCGCAACAAAATTTTAATTTGTGATCAATGGGTGATCTACACGTTTTCCCAGCTTGTTGGTTTGCACAACAAATGCGTGTTATTCACGGTGAGGGTGAAGTGTGTCTTCCCTAAAGAAGTGTAATGAGCTGGGTGTACCGACACATGGCAGGGGCCCTGTGTCGTTACGGGAAAGATGTGCAAGAATTGTTTAAGACATGTGAGTGTTCAGGCTTAGTCAATTTGAGGATGTGGTTTTGGTAGACGGTAGACCTCTATACTTCATTCCTCCTTTCTATCTTTTGTAGTGTATTCCTATTTTAGACCAACAAAAGCAAAAGTGAAGAAAAATGAAAGTAAGAAATCAAATGTAAAAATTGTTGATAATTTTGCAATTTACATCAATAATGCCAAACTGACTAGTAACATGTACACGTTTTACAAGGATTATATATTTTGGAATGGAATCCACACACACAAAGTAAGTCTAAGCAAGACATTGATAAAATAACAACACAATAATATATAGGGAGGGGACATGAGCAGTTTGAAGTGGTCTTCCAGCTAGAAAGATTTGATTTAAGTTTTACTTTGGCGTAGTCCCCATGACAGCAAAATCTAGTAAAACCACCCGCTTTATATAGGGTCACCTAAGCCTTTTTTGTCCAAATGCGTTCAGATGGAAAATTTTGAATCATGTCCTTTATTGGATCCTTGGCATATTAACCCCTTTTCAATTACCACACTCATGAGTTTTTTCTTTTTTCACCAACTAGCCATCTCAATCTCATGGTGTTTTTGACCAGTCAGATTATGTCTTTCTTGGCTGCTTCTGCACACAAACGAATATGGGTTTTAATTTCTATCCCATCAATGTCACTCTTTGCTTGCGCTAAAATAAATTTATACTCCGTACATGCTCATTTTTTATTTTTAGAAGAAAAACCAAACAAAACCAGCACTCATCATCATATATACCTTCACAGCTTAGTTTAGTTGTACTGCAACAAGTACCGAGACCTCTATTCCCCCCTCCCATGGCTGTCTCTAGTTGCAAACTTGCAGCGTCAATGCCAGCAAAAAAATGTTACATACATCAATTTTCACCAAGTGTCACACCCGAAGACCATCAGAAGCATTAGACTTGCATACATCAATTAGTTATTACCTCCGTCCCGTTATGTATTACCAAATAAGAACAGTAAAAACTATTTGGTTCGTGTCGAGAAGCGAGAAATAAGATGAACAAATTCATTACTGTAAAAACAAAACTTTAAAGATTTTTTAGATAAACAAAAAAAAAGAAAAATTGACAAAATTCGATGGGAGGAAGGGTAAAGAAGGCCAGTAATTGAATCATTTGAATGGCTATGATTGACGAGGCACTTTGCCTGCTACATATGATAAAGGGTCTGCTTTCTGTAAAAAAAAAAAGGATGACACCCCATCCCTGAGGGCCCCCAACACCGACCGGACGGCACGATGGGAGGATGTAAATTGGACTATAATCACAATCTGACAAATAGAGAGTGGGGCACTGCCCCCGGTACTTGCAGAAGCCCTATGCATTTTTCAGCATAGTAACCCCTCATCGCAGTTGCCGGGATTCGAACCCGAGACCTAACCCTTGTGGCACTCCCTCGCTACCAGTTGAGCAACGCCCACCGGTAGGATCTGCTTTCTGTGTATACATTATGGTCAACCTTAACGATTTTTTTCTTCATAAATAAAAGCATGACACACAAAGAGAAACTGATCCCCTCTACTTAAACAGACAGGTTTAAGGATAATCTTTTTGCTGTTATAGATGGGTTAGTTGTGCAAGAAGAAATGATAAATTTCAGCATGGCTTTCAAGTCATCAAATATAAAAATATCATGTTTTGAAATGAGAAATTCCAATGCTGCCCTGCATTAGGTGGTAGTAATTAGAATTGGTAAATGGGACAGTCACTCAGCTGCTTGCTTCATCCTCATTGGGGGGGGGGGGGGGGGCAAAAACCAAGACCTTAAGAATTCATGCCTCATTGTTTCATGTTGTTATTATGTGAGACTTGAAGGAATTAGGAAAAAGGAAATCAAGACCTTACAGAACTTTATGACCAAAACATAAAGAATGCATGTAGGTAGTCATAGGAAAAAGGAAAACTGTGTGGACAAAAGAGAAGAGCCTTCCCTCCCTAACAATAGATATGAATCAATTCCAAACCAATAGTTAAGAATTATAAAAAGAAGAGGTTACAAAAAAAAGAATCTGTCCCTGCTGCAACTTCACAGAAAATTCCAAGGGAAAATATCTCCCCCACTCTTTTCCCAGCCAACTAACCTAAAAATTTCTTCTTAACTTAACATGAACAAAGAATATACTCCCTTGTTAATGAATAGGGAGACGGGGGAGGGACAGAAGCACTACAGAGAGGATGTATCAACAAAAACCTCATTGAGCACGTCGTCGTCATCATGTTCACCGTTTGCCAGCGAAAACAGCTCCGCATCCCTCTCCTCGTTGGAACAATCCCGTCTTTCAAGCTTAGAGTGAGCAGCAATGAACGTTAGCTTCTGGGCTTTGTCCAACCCCGCTCTAGAATGCGACTGGGCCCCTACCCATCTCATGAAGGACCAGTTGCATTTGAATCCGCCACCACACGAGGTGGCGTGGAGAAAGATGAGCCTGACTGCTACCTTCCCCAGCGACTTGAACCCTGTCAGGTACGTCTCCCAAACGAGCCTGGAACTTTGGGGATTCGCAAGCCTCATTTTCCCCGTGACCGGGTCCCTCTGTTTCAGCTGAACCGCTTGGGCGTAAACAGGTTCTAGCCCTTCAGTTCTCCACTTCATAAGCTCCATCAGCGCAATGTGAGCCTCCTCCCGAGGCACCAGCCGTGTGATCAGCCTGTCCACGTCCTTTTCCTGATCCGGGGTCAAAAATTTGAAAGGCGGCAAGTACCTCCCGTTCGAGTCTCTGACCAAGTAGAGCGGGTCGAGTATGAATGCGGCGGCCCAAGCGGGATGGTAGTTCTTCTGGAACCTTCTTTCCACGAGCTTCTCTACTGGTCCTTCGGCAATGTGATACCTGGAACGCCACTCCTTTACTTTCGTCCTTAGCTCCTCCCAGAGAGGAAGGCATTGACCCACCCGTGGTTTCTCAGTCTCGATCTCCCGACCCATCATCCTGACCAGTTTGACCAGCGAATGCACGGCCTCCAGCTCGTTCCAGAAATGCGGGCTCCTCATCATATCTTCGACCTCCCTGGCAAAACGCTCCTCCTCCAACAACACCACCTTGTACGCCTCGTCCATCAACACCAAATGGAGTGCCCTTGCTGAGCTCAACACGTCCTCAACCAGGGAGAAAACCGGTCCGAAATCCGAGCTCTCCAAGGGCACCCTTAACAAACCTGAGTACCCGTACTCCTGCAACTGGTACTTTTGGAAGGTGTTTCGAATCTGGGACTTGTTGTTAATGAAATTCGCGAGGCGTGTACAGTTGTCCGAGACGTTCTTGAAGAAAGGGAGCTCCTTTACGAAATCTTTGATCAAACCATTGAATGCTTGAAATTGGCAAGAGATGTTGACCATCCATTGGTGCTGATTCTCTAGGTTCCTCAACGCCTTTGACTTGAACTTGTCTGCAACTATACCTACACATTGGTGGGCACTGTTTGGACAGATTTCAGTGACTGTGTCCCATAAAACATCCTCTGCGTATTTAGAGGGAACGTATCCCGTAGTTAAAACAGTTTTCGTGAACACACTGGTTCCGTTTGGGAGATTCACATATAAACTCACCAAATTATCTTCCCCCAGATGCCCTACATTCTTCTTCTTCTTCCCCACCCAGCCGTCAGCTGCGACCTGAAAGAACATGGCCTCCCGGATTTTTGCCTCAGATTCTGCTTTGGCTTCCTCGTACTTGGCGTCTAACCTTGACCCGGCGAAATCTTTTCTTGAAATCTGGGGCAACCCGACTTGATTTAGGAACGCCCTGAATTTCGGGTGGTCCAGACTGGAGAAGGACACCGACCCGCAGCATTCGTAGACCCAATCAGAGAGGAAATCGAAGGCGGAATCAATCTGGGATTTGCTTAGTGTTTGCCCGGGCGAGGCTTTGGGGCTCTTCAGCTTCTTCACACTGTCTTCCAGCATCGCCAGAGCTGCCAAATCCTCCTTTCCACCTGACAATACCATCTGCGGCGGGTACATTCCGCCGCGGGAACCGGCTGGGGAAGCAACCGTTGCGGCCACGGACACAACGGGTGGTGGGTAAGACAACTCGGGCGCGAATCTCGACGGATTAACTATAGCAAGAGGGCCGACTTGGTACCCCGCAGAGATGCTCTCTGTGCGGCCTCCGCCGGAGGAGCTGCGTTTCCGGTGGTTGTGATGCGGCGCCTGCGGAGGCGGGAGGGAAGAAATGGGCTTGACGATGGAGTTGAAATTGGGACAAGTCCCTCGCTTAAGATGCTCGGAAGCAGTTCGGGATGGATTGGAGGCGGAGAAAACGGCGTCGCACAGTGAGCACCGGAGCTTGACGGCTTTGGGGAAGCCGGTATCGGAGCTGTGGACCAGCATGGGCTCAAGGTGTGCCCAATACCAAGCCCCTTTGCCCTTTACAGCTTTGTTCCGTACCATCATCAGCCCCTCGTACCTCTTGTGGACTGCCTTGGCCGTGAGCTCCTCCGACAAGCCGGCGGCGGCGGGGCCAAGCTCCAGCGGCGTGGCGGCCGAGCTGCTGTTCGCCTCAGCCATGGGCAGAGAGATGAATAAAGAAAGCAGCTAAAAAAACAGGAGTGGCTAAGTGCGTGGGAAAAGAAACGGCATCGGTGTTTCAGCCGGGAAATGTTGGCGGAGGTCCATGAAGGAGAGCTTTGATGGTAGGTGGTCCTCCCCAGTGGGGTTGGAGGAAATTTTCGCAAAATGCAACAGTCCAACAGAGAGAGGGGAGGGGTAAAGTGAAAATGCTTTCTACTTTCTAGTCTAGTCTAGAGAGAGACAGAGAGAAAAGGTACATACATACATACAGAGAGCAGCGGTGGAGTTGTTTGTTTCAACTTTGAAGAGGGAGGGGGAGGTTTCAACTTAGTGGTGACCGGCTGGGAACTTGTTGACAGACACATTAACGTTGAACACGACTGCCGTTAATTGTGTGTTTCTCACCATCGTTTGCTATTCACAACCTTCTGCTCCCTCCGTCTCTAATCGTTTACTATTCTTTTTAGTTGGAACCCCCAATCAGTTGCCTCCTTTTTCCCAAATAAATAAAAAAGTAAATAAAAGATACTCCTCTTTGATTAACAAATAAAAAGGGAAATTGTCTCGTACATTTTTCATATTATAAAAATACATGTCCTTTTCTTGTTTTTCTACTTTTAGGATCAAATGCCTAGCTCTTATAATTTATAGACTTCAAATTTTTCCAGCAATACTGGATGATAATTGTGAGTATATTTTATTTTTATTTTCTTCTAATCCATTCCTATTCTTTTCATCTTTTCTTTTCTTTTTCTTCTTTTGCTTCCACCTGTATTTCTTATCATTCCATTTTCGTCACATGAAAATTTGAAAATTATCATTCATTTTATTCTCATGTATGGGTGCTAGGTCTGAGACTTGGAACCGTAAAATCATGGAAACCAATTCAAACCGAACTGAATTATCCAATTCAGTCCGGTTCCTATAATTTTGGACTTCTTTTTTTTTGTTCGGTTCCTATAGTATTTGATCGGTTCAGTTCCAGTTTGAATCCGGTTCCTAGACATGAACCGAACTTCTTATACATTGCTCGAGTAATCTTCATTTGATGTGCTTCTGGGTGGAATTTTTTGATGAAATTTTGCTAGCTTGTTTTTCATGAAATATAAATTACGCCCACCAAATTTCAACTTAAAATTTAATCGAGAAGCCAGTTAAATAAATTATTGAAAAACATTGTAACACCTTGAAAATTAGAGAGAATTTGAGAAATAATTAAGATTGTGTTTTGTGTCGTTTAAATGGTCTCTAGCTAGTTTATTATGTTTAGTTTAGTGTTTGGGACCGCGGGAAGGTCTGTGCGGCGTGCGGGACAGAACACCGCTGCAGGAGTGTCCTCACGGTGGTATCGTGCAAGGCCGCACGTCGTGCGGGTTAATTTCATCCTCATGCTACTCAAACTTTAATTTGGAAATTCACTATAAACACATCCCTGATCCGATTTTCCTCATTCCAATAACCCTAGGACCGCCTCTTCAAGCTCTATCTCTTCCAGAACTCTAATATTAACATATCCAATACGATTTTTGAGGCCAAGGACGAGATCAAACAATCTAATTTTCCGGCAAGTGCGTTCGTTGCCTAATTCGTGTCGTTTATCCGTTTTCTTGATTTCTCTCTCCTAAGTTATGATTGTTCGATCCTATAACTTCTTAGGAACGGGTGAATGACATATCAAGATAGGTTTGACATTTGCGATTCATTGCTAGCCTACCACCATTCTCATCACCATTCTCATCACCATTCTCATGGTTATCAATTTCAGAAATCGAACCCTCTATATGGGGAATCAAAATGGGTTCGTCCGGTTGATGATCAACATATGATTCAATAGCATCAATCCATGAAAATCTCCAAATACACTTTAACACCTTCCTTATAGTGTCATCATCCTGAACTAAGAAAACTCCATTGTCCAAATCCTTTCCCGGTTCTAAAGATATATATTTTTCAGTGTTTTAAACCCCAAGTCATCGTTGTATTTTCTTGAAATTTCATGATAACACATATAGGGAATGTTGGGTAGCAGCGGTTTACCTCCAAATGCAGTTTTTTGTCAATGGGAAACACTTATTTTTGCAGCGTTTAGGTTCCAAATAGCTGAAATACAAACATGGCTATAATCAGGGTCATAAGCATAAATTGTAACGATGTCCCCATTAACATATTTTAGCTTTGACTTCAGATTCCACCTCCTGCTATGGTTAAATCTGAGATTAATCAACCCATTCATTGTATCGAACAAAAATAACATTGAAAGAATACCCCAGGCCAGTCGTACATCTTCCAACCTTCTTAGAGCAGTTCAATACCTTCTAATCTTCTCAACTCACTAGCACAATCTCACAGTTACACGCCATGGAAATGAGCTAAGTTTAGAAATTTGAATTTGTGGTGTTTAATCTGATGACGTCGATTGATAACTGGGAAAAGAGGCGTTCAACGGAAATGTTACAGGGTGGGTGATGAGGGATCAAAAAGTTTAATTTTGTGTTTATTTGATCTACTTAAAACCTTAATCTCCGATCTGAACTCCATTAAAAGAGGAAGTGGTCCAGCCCAGTTGGTCGCCGACTCACTCTCCCTTACGGGAGGTCTCAGGTTCGAAACTCAATGGAGTGAGTTTCAGTCTAGATTACTCCAGGCCCCCCCAGCCCCTTCCCCCAGAAGCCCCCTGGAGTAAAAAAACAAAATCTGAACTCCATTAAAAACCTTAGTGTCCTAGTATACCCTTCTATAAAAAGTATAGACGTGAATTAATACAAAAGTAAAGTGTAAGTACTAATAAATGATAAAACAAAGGAAAAATGGTCAAATACACTCTTCTATAAAAGGGATCATTTTAGCCCATGTACTCTAAGAAAAATCAATTGAATCAAATTAACTGAAAGTAACCTTTAATAGCAGGCCATCTCAGTTACATTTTTAGCTAAACCTAACACTACCCAGCTTTTTCATAAAAATATGTAACCAAGGGGATTTTAACTCTAGTCGTCACTGGGCACCAATGTGGCGGTTAGGGGTGGGTTCGGTTCTTGCGGTTCGGTTTTGACCTAAAACCAAATATAGAATCAAAGTAAAAAGTTCGGTTCGGTTTTACACTCCAAAACTTGGAACCACAGTTTGATTGGTTCGATTGGTTTCGGTTCGGTTTCGGTTTTTTCGGTTTCTACCAAAAAAATTCTCACTTGATTTAAAATTGATATAATACTTAGAGGGATCAAACATATTACATAAAGAATGCAAGCACAATACAACAACAAATAAAATAAAAATGAGAAGAGATAAATATGTCTTGAATTATATGAGTATGCGAGATAGATAAAAATGTATATATTATTGATTTAATTTGTTTGTGAGCAGTTCGAAAAAAGTTCATGAATATATACGTTCTATGTGATATAGTTGAGATGAATATTTATTGTTTTATCAATATAAAATCTTTAAGTTATCTAAAAATAAAAGTTAATTACTACTAATAACTAGTAAACACATATTATCATCATTCCATATAGCTACATTATTACAAACAATGAATGTGTAAATGAATTTATAAACTAAATTAAATTAAACATAACACAAACATTATTTCTCTAACACAAGAAAACCAAAGACTATTGATGATATTACGATTAATTAGAACTAATGCTTAACAATTAACATATAAATTTCATATTTTAAATAGTTCGGTTTGTTTGGTTCGGTTCGGTTTTGAAGGGTAAAAACCAAAACCGAACCAAATAACATCGGTTCGGTTCGGTTTTTTACATTCGGTTTCGGTTTCTTAGCGCTTCGGTTTTATTTGGCTGCGGTTCGGTTTAATTTGATTCGGTTTTCGTTTTTCGGTTTTTCGGACCCAGCCCTAGTGGCGGTTACCATCCGAGCTATACTTTTGTTGAGTCATACTACGTACTACCTCTGTTCTTAAATAAATGCAACATATGAAATTTTACACTATTCACATGTTCTACTTTGACTACGTTTTATTTATTAATGTATGAATATATTTTTATGAAAAAATATTGTTAAATTTGTCTCATTGTAAATTTTCAATATCTAATTTTTTAAATTTTTTTACTAATATAAATTTATATACATTAATGGTCAAAGTTGTGTCTTGGCAAGTGTGAAATGTTGACCGTTGCATTTATTTAAGAACAGAGGAAGTATTTACTTCAAAAAGTATATACTCCTTAAAGGCTGACACTGCTTGCTAAATATCAGTAAACATGTAATTATAATAATAATTATTTTTATTGCTATTAATGTATTATACTAATAAACTGAGGAGTATTTTCAAATTTTTATTAATTCTTATAAAAAGAATAATGAGAATAATTTTGGATCATATAAGTTTAATCAAGGGGAAATTTTCCTCAAATAGGACGAAATGAAACTTTTTTTTTACTCCAGGGGGCGTCTAGGGGAGGGGGTCTGGGGGTCTGGAGTATAGCTTTAAAATTTCTTAAATAGGACTACCTTTATGATCCTACCCTGCTTTTGTTTTAATACAATTCATATTTCATTAATAATTACTACGTATAACATAAGTATAATTAAACAACTTTATTTATAATAAAATTTAAAAAAAATAAAAAACATAAAAAAATATTAATCAAAATTAATAAAAATCAAAACATAGAAAAATTAGAATTACTTCCTCCGTCCCATTAACAATGAGACATTTTCAAAGAGTAAAAATGTTGTCCTAAAGACATTTTCAGAGAGAAAATGACAAATTTTATACTCTGTACAAAAATAACATTTTTTCACTGATTAGGGGTGGCATTGCTGGAAGGTGGCAAAGGCTGCAGGAAAGAGCTGCAAATTTTATTTATAATTTTTAATGGTTTTTATCTATTTATTATTTTCAAAGTTTACTTTTTTAGGAAAAAATAATTTTTTGGTTTTTATTATTATATTACTAGTATTTTTAAACATATTTTTGAATGTTTATATTTTTTACAATTTCATTATAAATTAAAATATTATAATTTTCATTACAAATTAAAATATATTTTCCTATTTGTGCATTTAGGGATTGGTTTACTCCTATTTAACGCTATTTTCTCTTTAATCTAATATATGATGAACTATATTTTATGTTTATTTTCATTAAATATTGACCGTTACTATATTTTATGTTTATTTTCATTAAATATTGAACGTTTTTTTGCGTTGATCGGGTTGAATCAAAATTCAATAATGTTATCATTACTGATTCAGATCGACCCATGACCGCCGGGTCAATATTTATTGGA